CCTGTCTCGAAAAACCAAAAAAAAAAAAAAAATCTGTGGCTCATGCCTTTCATTCCAACACTTAGGAGGCAGAGGCAGGGGGAGCTGTGAATTTGAAGCCAGCTTGGTCTACAGAGTGAGTTCCAGGACAGCTAGGGCTGTTACACAGAGAAACCCTGTCTCAAAAAAAAAAAAAAGTACTTAAAAAAAAATCAGTGCTAATTCTTATGGGGCATTTTTGTGTGAAAATATAAATAAGGACCATCATAACAGAACTTAAGATATTATTTAAAAAGAAAATGAGAATCTTGTAATTCCATCCACTCCAGAGCACAGTTTTTTTCCATCTCCTTATATCAGAAGAGACGGATAGGCCACAGTGTGATGGTGGGTGGTGCACTCACGCAGATCTAGCACTTGGAAGGCTGAGGCAGGAGGACTGCTGTAAGGTACCAGTCAGTCACTCTGTCACATATCCTTGTTTTCTGTTACCAATGGCGGTGACTAGTACCAGCAGCCAGCCACCTTACCTTTTCTCTGTTGATGCCCGCATGCTTGGAAGTAGATTTGCTGAAGGCAATGCCCCTTTTCTGATGCGGGAGAGTTGGGCACATGCCAGAGACTCGGTTGTTGATGGGTTGACTCTGAGAGCCAGCTGTTTTTGGTACTGGCTTTTCAACTTTAATATTTCAGAATATAAAGACCTGGCCCATTCTGAGATTTCTTACTTTGATAAGCCACTCAAGATGAGTCCAAGGAAATTTAATGTTTAAAACAAACACAAGAAAAGGAAAGCAGATTAAAAAGAACCTCGTGTCAGGTCTTAGAATAGAGTCTACACTTGCCTAGAGCATTTTCAGCTTGCTTACTTGCTGTTGTGAGCTTCTCTGCTATAGAATTTTCACTGTTTTGTGTAATAAAGGAAAGATTATGTAATCATTTTAGAGACAACTTGTGAGACCTGAGACTTAGGAATTGAGGTTGTAAGTTTGAGATGTTTGTGCTTCTTACAAAAGAAGTAAGATGCTATACATAACCCAGAAGTCTTTTTCTTTACTGCACTTGTAGGCAGCATGGCGGATGATGCCGTGGTATTAACATCCTAAATTCATTTCAGATGCCTTTTACAAGTGTTCCACTTTTCATCAGCAACCCTCTAAATGAGTTTTATTAATGACCTGATTTTACTATTTGAGGAAATTAACATTCAGTGAAATAAAATAACTTGCCCAAGATTACATGTCTGATAAGTAGCAAGAGGCAGAACTTGACTGTAGCTGTTTTGACGGTTGGCTCTTGAGAAGCCCTCCCAGAGGTTTGATCAAGTACTCTTCAAGGGTTACTTTCTCAGAGAATTCCTTTCTGAGATCTGTCCCGCCCCAGGGCACATAGTTCATTGTTTTGGAACTTAGAATACCCGACTGTTAGATTCAAGAGTCTGATGGTGACAATTTATAGAATGGATCTCTTTGACTGCAGAGGTTGGTCATGATGCCTTTTTGTGTTCTAGTGAAAGGTAAAGAGCAAGAGAAGAGCTCAGACGTCAAGTCCATCAAAGGTGAGTGAGTTCTCCTCTGTATTCACAGCGATGGGCTTTGGGGTTGGGAGCGCTCTGATTTTTATCCCCTCTCTTCTTGTGACAGTAATCATTCTTCAGTATTATGATTATTTATAATTATGACTTATTTCTCTCTTTAACATGTATACTCTAACAGGCTTTTACTGGCATTTGCTGGCTGCTCTAAAGTGAAGCAGCTCCTTATTAGTCAGACATTTGATTGTTCCCTAACAGTAATTCATTGGCTTTGTTCAGTAAAACAAACACTGAGCTGTGACAGCTAGAGAGACTCCCATTTACAAGGCTGGTTTTCTCTCTGCTCAGAAATGTGGATGAGTACAGTTTTCACTGTATTAGAATCAATGGCCTTCAGTTAAGCTTATTCACAGTACTTTGTGAATGTTAATGCACTGTTCTTATTTATGGGCTTAAGTATGCTTTTCTTTCTTTCTTTTTTTAAGTTATCTCTTCTGGTTTTTTTTATTCAATGTCTAGCGTACTGAGAGTGGGATAAGAAATTTTACAATAGAAAATGATTTCCATAGCCAGTACATACAAATTTCATTGTATAACATAGCTAAAATATGCAGAATACTGCTTAGATTTTTCTTGTGTTTTTTGATATGTGGCCAGCATTGAGTGTTTACCGTCTGCTCAATTTGCCAGAGAGTTTAATTATAACATTTACAAGGTTTGCAAGATTAGAGGAAAAAATGCCCCTACAGCCTTATTGTAAACTTATTACTGATAATTTAAAGTAAGTTGGATTCTGTGCTCAACTATTTTCTTTAAGCCAGCTGTGACTGGCATTTGGTAAAGGTGAAAGGTCCTAAGCGGACGCCTGTGAAGCAGATGTTTCTGACTGTGGTAATAGGAAGGGACTAGCACTTGAGGCCATCAGAACAGTGAGGAGATGGGCAACATTTTATTTTCCAGTGGGTTTCTAGTTCTCCAAATTAAAATTGAGCTTTAGATACTTCATGATAGGTGGGTGAGGTGAAACATGCCTTTAATTACAGCACTCGGGAGACAGGCAGGCAGGTCTTAGTGAGTTTGAGGCCAATCTGGCCTACTTAGCCAGTTCCGTCACAGCAGGACCCTGTCTCAGAAAAACCAAGTTTTGTCCCCTTCCCTCCCCCCCCCAAAAAACCCAAACCTCACAAATAATATATAAAAATAAATTTCATGCTCATAATCTGCTAGTGAGAGCATGTAATCTCTGCTTAGCAGTTATAGGCTTGACCTTAGGATAACAACAGAAGCATTAAAAGAAACTGCCCTTCCAGAAGTTTGTGCTCTGAGGGCCCGCGAGAGACTCAGCGGGTGAAAATGCTGGTGGCAGGGGAGAACTGATTCCTGGGAGTTACCCTCTTATTTCCCCAAACACCCCCTGCCGCACATGCACTCACACTTGCTTGCATGCATGCATGTGCACAAATATGCATACACACAGACGTATGTAGGGATAAAAGTAAAGTTGCAGTGGGAGTAGCAGGACCCACTTAGATATACAGTAGCAAATAGGGCAAAAATAGTCATGGCCTCCATTTATAGAGCACTTTTAATTCCTTTCAGTTTGCGTTTTTCAAGATAGGGTTTCTCTGTGTAACAGCGCTGGCTGTCCTGGAACCTGGGTGATTTGAACTAGTGGTGGTAACAAAGAGATCAGGACAAAATTGAAAGTGCAGCAGGTAAAATGAATTGAAGTTTGTTATTGATTAGCTCTGAGATGCGAAGGACACGGATGTAAAGTTTGTCACTTGCTACCTTTCTGGCTTGCCTCGCAGAACCAAGCTAGGGAATTACATGTTCAGTTGTAGTATATTGCGTGGGAAGCACTTTTGAGTCATTCATTTTTATATGTTTCACACACAGTAATTCTAGGTTCTGAGGTTTTAACCAAAGATATGAGACTCTAGGTGACCTAGGTTGGAATGCTGCCTATTGAAATGGCCCTTCCCAAGTTCATAGACCTAGGACAAAGTATTTAACTTTTCTGTGTGTTTGCCTTTACCTATAACATGGAGGAAATACCGGTCTTGAAGAATTGTCCAGAGAGGCCAAAACAAGTAACAAGCCATAGACAAAGCAGCAGAGTGCCTGGTCTGTCACAGGTGCCCGATGGCAGTGATTACTGCCTAGTGTTAACATAGTGAGCTGACAGGAAGGATTGCAAGGAGCCCAGAAAATCTGAGGTCAGTCAACTTTAGGGAAGATTTCATGGAAATGATTCGGTCTATAGACACACTGAAGAGTAAGAGGATTTAGATGAAAGAGAGAAAATTGTTTATTTTGTCCCTACCAGCCTTTAATTTTTTTTGAACATATATATATATGGGGTAGAGAAGCCTTCAGCTAAGTAAAGGGAAATTTTTACAAAACGATTGAAATGAGGTTATACAGAGCCATAAAGACCAGAAAATAGGCCCTAGTCACTGATTTGCTGCTAAGAATTCAGCTACCTCTCCCTCCAACCCCCTTAATTCCTGATGCTCCAGTGCTTCCCATCTGTCCCGCCACGCTCCTTTTTCCTACAGCTCCCTTCCTTAGGCCATTTCCACCAAGGAGGAGGAATTGTATCCAGTTCTTGCTCTCTAGAACTTGAAAGTTGATGGCCTACTTCCTACTGGCACTCAGGAGTATATTCATGTAAGAATCCAGTTGGCAGGAAGACCCTTCAACTGCTATCCTAGGGATCACTGATGATTAGGATAAAAGGAAACTAATAAGGCATTTAAGAAGAAATTTGCCTTTGTTACCATTGTACCATAATTGAGCATCTCGAATGTGGAGATATAATTCATCTACAGAACATACAGCAGTGCCTAATAGAGACTGGACTGGCTAAGGGTGATTCCCTGAAGGTTCATGGGTTTTAAGTGCTTATGGCTCCCAGGAGCTTAAGTGAGGATTTCCTTCCAATGAGTAGAATTTCCCTTCTGTCCCTTGTCACAGTTTTAAAAAAACCTCACATCTGTGTAATGTATCCATTTGAGGTCCACTCATACTAGTGCAACTCTTTCATGCAATAAATGAAAAAGAGTGATGCCCCCCCCCCCAAAAAAAAAAACAAAAATCGAAAAGCCAGAAAAGAAAGTTGAGCCAGATAAATGTGGGCCTTTGAGCAGGATACTGATGTCATGTGGTTTTCATGACAGGTATACCGGAAGAATTTTAAGAATGAGACCCAGAACTTCTTTTGGAGAGTTTAGTCTTAAAAATAAATAATAAGAAAGTAAACTACTCCAAGAAAAAAAAGAAAACAGATAGTGAAAAAAATCAGATAGTGAAAAAGAATGAGACCATACTTTTGAGCTTTGCCAACTGGTGGATCTGAACAGTAAGACAGAGAAATTAGAAAGGAGAATTGGTTTAGAAGAGGTGACGAGTCTTATATTTGGACAAATATGTCCTGATGTGGCAAAGCCGGAGTGGGAATCCCCAGCAATAAGTAAGAGTGTAAGAACAGAGCCCATATCAAAGGATAGATATGAGATCAGGCCAGGGGTTCTTCAGCTGCTCCCCGAGGCTTCTCCAGGAGCTGTTGCCAAGGAAACAATAGAGGCACACTACTTACTCTACTTTTATTGGTTTTGTAGACATGATTAGGTCTGATTTTTTTTTTAAGTTTATTTAAGGGGTAAGAGCTTATAGTTTAAGGTTTGCAAACTTTTGCTTTAGTAATAACAGAAGGTTTGAAAATAAATGTACTTTCTACTAGAAAGCAATATAAAATATCTTTAGGAAGAAGAGTCAGGGAAGGAGGCCATTTCTGACAGTGGACAGTTAGGAGATGAATTTTAGAATGAGAAGGATAAACAGACTCAAGAGGAAATTAGGGAATGCAGTGCCATGGAGTCCAAAGAAAGAGACTGTTGGGAAGGAACAGGGGCAGATGGGAAGCATGAGTTCTGACAGAATAGTGAGGAGGGGGAGAAAGTCCTTGTGTTTTCCCTGCATGGATATGTGTGCACCATGCATGAAGAAGGGATAGAACTAGAGTTACAGATGGTTGAGAGCCACCATGTGGGCGCTGGCAACAGAACCCTGGCACTCTTTAAAAGCAGTGAATACTAACTGATTGACCACTTTCCTCTCCAGCCCCTAAGAGAAAGTACTACACAGATTAATTCATAGTATTTTTGTTATCATGGATTTCTAATTAAGATATGATTAGAAAGAAAACATTCACATAGAATTTTCTGTGTAGCTATTGTCTGGATTAAAAAACTAGCCAGGCATGGTGACATGGCTCCGTGGGTAAAAGTGCTTGCCAATGGCAAGCCTGGAGACCCTGGGTTTGATCTCCTGGAACCCACATAACGGTGAAGGAGAGAACCAATTCTACAAAGTTGTCCTCTGCATTTCACGTGTGCACTCTGGCAGGTGTGCCCATACACATAACACATACACACACGCTTGTAGATAAATACATTCTTTTAACCTAAAGCTGGCTGTGATAGTGCACACCTGTAATCCCTACACTCTGGAGGCTGAAGCAGGATTGTGAGTTTGAGGATGGCCTGGCCACCATAGTCCGAAAATGTATGTCTCAAAAATGACAAGTAAAAAGCAAAACTATTATTTATAGACTTGCTAACATGGTTTTACTTCCTTCAATTTAACATGAAAAAAAAATTCAGATGACCTTCTTTTTTTTTTTTTTTTTTTTTTTTTTTTTTTTTTTGGTTTTTCGAGACAGGGTTTCTCTGCGTAGCTTTGCGCCTTTCCTGGAACTCACTTGGTAGCCCAGGCTGGCCTCGAACTCACAGAGATCCGCCTGGCTCTGCCTCCCGAGTGCTGGGATTAAAGGCGTGCGCCACCACCGCCCGGCTTCAGATGACCTTCTTTTAAAGTTGAATAGTTTGAAGGCAGTTTTTTTTCCATTCCACAATTTCTGAACTTTTGAATGGCTGACAGATTTACATGTTTGGTAAACGGCTGTGTATGTTCCATTTGTACCTGCTGTAGCCTGTAACATCTCAGAGAGCCGTCAGTCGGGTTGTAGTACTCTGTATCCATCATAAGAAATAGTTCTGAGGGTTACTAGGTTTGAGCACTTACAGGGGTACTGGGAGATGCAGCTTAGTTACTTGAGAGATTCTTGAGGCCTGTGCCATTTCTCTTTCCTGTTGTAGCAGTGTGATACACCGAAAACTTTTTTGGTTTTTCAAGACAGTTTCGCTGTAGCCCTGGCTGTCCTGGGACTCACTCTGTAGACCAGGCTGGCTGTGGACTCAGAAATCTGCCTGCCTCTGCCTCCCGAGTGCCAGGATTAAAGGTGTGCACCACCATGCCTGGCTTTCCAAAACTTACTCAGAACGTCCTCTAAGATCCCTTACTACTTGTGTGAACTAGGTAGGACAAACAGAGTGTTAGCTCGGCTTCAGCAGCAAGTTTAAGTGCCACTCTGACAGTGGTGCAGTGTTGAGTCAGTGTTTCCTGCCACTGCGTTGGTAACTAACTTCCACTCTGGGAACTAAGCTCTTGTTCTTTAGCAGCTGAGCACTCTCTCCAGCCTATAATTGAGGATGCTGAAGTCAGACTACTAAAGAAATACGTTTTCTGAACAAAACAATTTGTGGTATTGAGGATCAAACCTAGGGCCTGCTTGACACATGCTAAATAAACAACTCTACTACCCAATTGCATCTCCATTGACTTTGTAAATTTGAAGTGTTTTTATTATTATTATTATTATTATTATTATTATTATTATTATTATTATTAGTTTTTTGAGGCAGGGTCTCATTATGTAACTGTAGCTTGCCTGAAACTCACTATGTTGACCAGGCTGGCCTTGAACTCAAGAGAGATTTCCCCCATCTCTGTCCCCTTGTGCTGGTATCAAAGGCATGGGAGTGCTTAAGTAGCTTGAACTTTAGTAATCAGTGTCTTTATTAGATGAATAAACTTTGTTGCTCAATTAAAAAAGTAAAGTATTGTGATGGACATTTTTCTAGATTTTTTCTCTCAAGAATTTATTCTAAATTCAGTTTTGTTTGTGAAGCAAGCAAATATTAAGAAATTGAAAAGGTCCCCATTTCAAAATGCTTTCTAGATTTTTATACTTTTCTCTTGGAAGACAGGTTTTGCCACGTTGCCCAGACTAACCTGGAACCTGACTTGACTTCCTGGCTCCCTGCTGGAATTGTGGTTATATACCACCAAACTCAGCTTGCCTTCTATCCTTTTAATTTTTCAGAGAAAGAGCTCTCTAAGTTAGAGTTTTGGTGCAGTATTTTGAGAGTTATAAATTAGAATAGATTGTTTTCTTTCCACTTTGCTTGCTGCTTGATAGAACTATCTTCTGTTTGTTTATTTATTTATTAGAGACAGGCTATGAAGGCCTGGGGTCCTGGAGCTCTCTCTGTAGACCAGGCTGACCTTGAACTGATAGAGATCCACCTGCCTCAACCTCCCATTTGCTAGGATTAAAGGCGTTTGCCAACATGCCTGGCTTATTTTATTTAAATTTTATTTATTTAATGAGTATGGATGTTCAGTCTGCATGTGTACCATACATGTCTGTGCATCATGTGTGTGTCTGGTTCCCCACAGAGGCCAGAAGAGGGCACCAGATCCCCTGAAACTGGAGTTGCAGGTGGATGCTGGGCTTGTACCTGGATGTTCTGAAGAGTAGCCAGTACTCTTAGCTACTGAACTGTCTCTTCAGCCCCTTAGCCGTTTTTGAGTGTTGCTTAAGTATTAGAAAGTTAGTTTTTAAATTTTCTTAAAGCCTGCTCATGGGTTTCAGATCATCAAATTGTGTTTAACTTTAAACTTTTTTTTTTTTTTCAAATTTATAGCTTCAATAACAGTACATTCCCCACAAAAAAGCACTAAAAATCATGCCTTGCTGGAAGCTGCAGGACCAAGTCATGTTGCAATCAATGCCATTTCTGCCAACATGGACTCCTTTTCAAGTAGCAGAACAGCAACACTTAAGAAGCAGCCAAGCCACATGGAGGCTGCTCATTTTGGGGACCTAGGTAAGTGACCACTTCTTACTAACGCCTAATCAAGGACAAACTTAATGAAACATGAGATTCCAGTCAAAGGATATTGAACTCCATGATTGGAATGATAGACCCCAAAATCTAGGGTACTTCTCGAGTGGGCACCCCAAGAACCCAGAGCACGAGGTTTATTGAAGCGACTGTACAGATGGGCTACTCTTGTCCTGAGAGCAAGAGTCGCATCACACTACAGCCACATAGGTACTTTTAAAGGAAAACCCCACAAAAGCCACAAGATTACAATTCCCATAGGAAAACCCCACAAAAGCCACAAGATTACAATTCCCATACAATTTCATTTCGATTGATGATCATGATCTAATCACAGAGTGATCACAGAGTGGGTACAGTCACGTCCGCATGCACATTCTTCCTGAAACCTCAAGGGGGTATCAGGGCAGGAGTGGAGTTTACACAGAGGTCACAGTGGTCCTTCCTGGAACAATTACAACTATCCCAGTCACAGTTGAGTGCATCTCTTAACAGAGATCTCTTTATATTGTTACATTGTGGCAGGGGTGGTTGAATAATGGCTGAGTCAGGTTGCCCTTGGAACTAGATTTTTAGTTTCTCATTTCCTGGGGCTTGGGGGTGTAAGCCTGAAGGGTTAGGGTCTTTCAGGAAGAGACTTTGAAAAAAATGCATCAAAAAAATAACCACAAGAGTAATGAGGTAGTGCTGTATTGTGTTCATGTAAATATAAGAAATGTCCAATAGAAAAATAAAGAGGTATATTTGAGCACTTAATAAGAATGCACAAAAAAGATTACTTATTTCAGTAGTACTCAGGGAGATACAAATCAAAATCGTAAGTTGAAATATTAAAATATATTCAGATTTTGCTAATTTGAATGTTAAGTGGAGTTGAAGGAAATGGCCACTCCTAGTTAGCAGTGGTGTAAGTGAGTAAAAAAGACTATTTTGGAAAGCAGTCAGTTTGGAAGTACTGTCTGATTCCACTGTTAGAAAAACTGGTAGTCTGTCTTTAATCAGGAAATTGTTACCAAATGGCTTATTCATTTGCTTCTGTCTTTTAGGCAGATCCTGTCTGGACTATCAAACTCAAGAGACCAAATCCAGTCTTTCAAAGACCCTTGAACAAGTCTTGCGTGATGCTATTGTCCTCCCATATTTCCTTCAGTTTATGGAACTTCGGAGAATGGAGCACTTGGTGAAATTTTGGTTGGAGGCTGAAAGTTTTCACTCTACAACTTGGTCCCGAATAAGAGCACACAGTCTGAACACAGTGAAACAGAGTTCACTGGCTGAGCCTGTCTCTCCATCTAAAAAGCAGGAAACGGCAGCATCTTTTGTAACTGAGTCTCTCGACAGGAGGTTGGGGGATTCTAGTTCAGCCCCACTGCTTCTGACTCAGCCAGAAGGAGTTGCCCTGAGTAGTAGAACTCAGACCACTCAGACTCACTTGCTGCTTTCACAGGAATGCCACAGTGCCCACTCTCTCCATCTTGAAATGGCCAGAACAGGAACTCATCAAATCTCCACAGACTCCCGAGACTCCTCTTCCAGACTTCCAGTAGCCAGTAGAAGTAGTACCTCTTCTCCACTGAGAGAACTATCAGGAAAACTAATGAAAAGTAAGTAAGCGCAGGACTTAAAACAAGGAATGAAAGGGTCAGAATAGTGTCTTTGTACCTCTAGCTCACAAATGGATTTGGAGGATTTGGAGGGTTGAGTGGAGTCGGTGTGCAAAGGATCAGGAAGTATATCTGAGTGACGGCCTTGCTGTGTGCTAACAGCAGACCGTGCGGCAGGACAATGTGCTGCTCTTGTTCACATTTGGAAGGGAAGCCGTTGTCCAAGGAGATGACCTCCTCCTGGTCTCGGTCCTCATATATTACTACTGTGAACTGCACCTGGTAGGTTAATTCTTTTCATTTCATGTTTTAGATTGCTGGTAGGTATCATTTATTGAGTTCTGTATTAAGTATCTATTTGGCTTTCATCTAATTGTCATAACAGCTGTGTTAAGTAGGTATTAATATCCTGTTTATCCTTGAGAAGACTGTGGTTTAGAAAATTCCTTCCTGGTTGTCTAGTAAGTGAGGAGCTAGAGTTAAACCCAGGCATTTTGAAAATAACACTTTTATGCTGGGCGGTGGTGGCGCACGCCTTTAATCCCAGCACTCGGGAGGCAGAGCCAGGCGGATCTCTGTGAGTTCGAGGCCAACCTGGGCTATCCTGTGAGTTCCAGGAAAGGCGCAAAGCTACACAGAGAAACCCTGTCTCGAAAAACCAAAAAAAAAGAAAATAACACTTTTTTATTTCCTGTTCTGTTAGTTCAGAAATTGCACCACATTCTCATTTTTGTAATTCTTGCTCTTTGGAATTCTTATTACCCAGACTTTTTATCTTTTTTATCTTCTCTATTTCTCAAAGGTTGGATGATTTCTTCAAATGCTTGTAGCTTACAGAGTGTCTATAAAGACAGGTCTGGTTTACTAATGAATGAATTTTAGTGTGTTGTTTAATCTTGGAAAGTTCCGAGTTTTTGTAAAATTTTATTTTACTCTGTGTGCATCTGTGTGTGATTGTGGGCATGCGAGGTCTGTCATGCATGTAGAGGTCAGAAGAGAGTTCGGGCTTCCTTCCTTCCAGTCGGCTGCAGGGATTGGCTCTCAGGCTTGTGGGACAAAAGGTTTTGCCCGCTGAACCATTCCTTGAAATGCTTTCTTTCTGACTTTGTTGTTGTTGCTTGTTTCCTTTGCTTTTATTTCGATCCTGTCTTGATCTTCTCAGATCTATTGAGCACAGTTGACTGGTATTCCCGTCTACAGTTGTGGTGGGTCTGAGTCAGTGCTGTTTGTTTCGTCAGAGTCACACACGTGGTGTGGAATGTGGGTTTTCAGGGGTGGGTGTGTGAATATAGATTTGGTCAATTTTTACCACAGTTTTCTAGCTGACTGACCTCAACCAGCCACCTGCTTTGTGAACCTGTGTATGTGGACAGTGTTGAGGCCCTGTAAAACTAGAGTTACTCTCTCTTGCTGCGGTAAAACACTGGCCAGAGGCAGCTTAGAGGAGGAATGGGTTTATATCATCTCACACTTCAGACCACACTCCACAATTGAGGGAAGTCAGGGCAGGAGCTCAAAGCAGGAACCTGAAGGTAGGAACCATGGAGGAATGCTGTTTGCTGACTCCATCACAGGCTTACGCCTTCTTATACAGTACATGATCACCTATCTCGGGATGGGATGGGCCCTCCTGCTTCAATTAAGACAATCTACATAATCCCTCACAGACAACCCGATACAGAGTTACTCAGTTGAGACTTTTTGGGTGATTCTGGGCTGTTTCAAGTTGATAGGTAATATTAGCAAGCATGGGTAGTCTGTTTGAATAATGTTGGTTCAGAAGTATTTGAATTTGCTTTCCCCATGCACCTGGAACCTGTTTTACTATCTTAGCATTACTTAAAACTAGTTTTATTTGTGGATTTCAGGCCTAAAATCCATATGTGAACAATTTTGTAGACAAGTATTGTCAAAGGAAGATTTCCCCACCTCCACCTTTTTCTTGAGCATCAGAACACCAGAGCCTCTCTCTGAGAAGTCTTTTTTTTTTTTTTTTTTTTTTTGCTATTCAGTTATGTCACCGAAAATATGTCCCACCTTTGTGTTTTCTGCCCTTAGTGGTGACTTTAGTCCTGGGCAGCTTCCTTTAAATGTTAAGTACCAAATCTGGGAGTTGCTGGAGGTTTTTTTCCAAGTAAATGTACTTTTATTACCTGAGTTTACATTCATTCTCTTAAAATCCAAAAAGCTTTGACTAAAGTTACGTGAATAAAACATGACCTGAGACACTGTGAACTTACTGTAGAAATATAAGTGTGTTTAGTTATGTAGTAACATCTAGATGATGCTATGATACTAACTAACATATTGTATGTTAAACATAATATGTTGTCCTTGTAATAACCATCAGAATTCTGAATTTCAGAGTACCGCTAGCTCTAGAAGATTAAGGTAAGGGATCACCGGATTCTGCTCTTCTTCTCGGCACTGTGGCCAGTTATGAGTCTCTGCATTAACTGCTACCAAGTGAAAAGGAAGCTTCTCTGACTAGGGTTGAGAGCAGCACAGATTTATAGATATAAAGTAATTAGGAGGCAGGCTGATGACGTGTCTATTTAGTGTAGTTGGTTTTTTGAAATTTCACGTGCATGAGTGTTTTGCTTGCATGTATGTCTGTATACCATGTGTGTGCCTGGTACCCATGGAGGCCAGAATAGGGCATCAGAGCCCTTCAGCTGGAGTTACAGACTATTGTGAGCCATGATGTGGGTGCTGGGAACCAAACTGAACCAAAGTTTTCTTCAAGAACAAAAAGTGTTCTTAGCTGCTGAGCCATTTCCCCAGCCCCCTCATGTCCCTTTAACCAAACGGCAGTAGTAGGCTCCCTTTCATCTCTGGGCCTTTACGGTGTCGGGCCTGAGTTCCTCCTGTGGAGTGTGCCTCAGGTCTTGTCAGCAGTTGGTTGCCTCCATAATAGTCATACCACTATTGACCAGTGAGCACATATTTCCTGGTTGGTCAGTACTGTAGCATGCAGGACCCTCCTTTGATGACTTTTCTCCTCAGCAGCCTGCATGACACTTTCTGACACTGCAAAAGCTAGTCATCAGAGAAGCTTCTGGACCAGTTGCATCTTGATTTCTATATATCCCACAACCAAAATGAGTGCTATGTGTAGCGACAGGATAGAGTCCTACTGTGTAGCTGTGATGGGCAGTCAAGAACAGTGGCAATATCCTGTATTGTTTGGGGGGCTCTGGGGTCTCCCTGACCAATAACGTAGAGGGAGGTATCTCAAGCCTGATACTGAGATCTTAATCCATGGCTTCGGTGGTTGTCCACCCATTCTGTTATGTTCAAACTCCTTTATGTTTTAAAATAAGCTTTTAGAAGTAGTAGGTTTCCATAAGGTCTTTGATTCCCTCTCCCTACATCCTCTGGTGTACAATGTCTTTGGAGTAACTTCTTTAGGATAGACTAATGTTTTCTATTTACCTTCTCCCTTAGTGTCTGTCAGAGATTAAACACAGAACTTCAGATTGGGCTATATCCTGTAGTCTGGACTTCATTTAAGAAGATTATAAATTTGGCTTCAGGATCTTAGTTTATGTTGTCACGGGGAGAAAACAAAGTAATTTTTTTTAGCTGACTTTGATAAAGATACTTAATTTTCCTAATATATATGTGTCTTTATAACTACCTCCCTGGCTTCCTGGTTGGCTTTGCTGATAGCCCTGTCCATTGTGGCTCTTGTGGTTGGGTCACACTTCCATTGACTAGTTCCCTTCATTGTGTTAAGCTTGGTTTATCATCCAGAATCCTCAGCTTGGGGTTACTGACCTTCCTGACCTCAGGGCTTTTGTGTGTGTGTGTGTGTGTGTGTGTGTGTGTGTGTGTGTGTGTGTGTGTAAAATCTACACCACAACTATGAGTTACAGACAGTTGTCAACCACCGTGTGGGTGCTGGAATTGAACCAGGTCCTCTGGAAGAGCAGTTAGTATTCCTAACCACTGAGCCATCTCTCCAGCTTCATGACCTCAGGTTTTTTTTGTTTTGTTTTGTTTTGTTTTAAAGATTTATTTATTTATTTATTTATTATGTATACAGCATGTATGACTTCAGGCCAGAAGAGGGCACCAGATCTCATTACAAATAGTTGTGAGCTACCATGTGGTTGCTAGGAATTGAACTCGGGACTTCTGGAAGAACAGCCAGTGCTCTTAACCTCTGAGCCATCTCTCCAGCTCCAACCTCAGGTTTTTTGACTTTTGATTTTGTTCATAAGAATATTGTTAATAGGGGCTAGAGAGATGGCTCAGTGGTTAAGAGCACTGGCTTCTCTTCCAGAGGTTCTGAGTTCAATTCCCAGCAACCACATGGTGGCTCACAACCATCTCTAGTGGGATCTGATGCCCTCTTCTGGCATAAAGGTGTTCATGCAGATAGAGCACTCATATACATTAAATAAATAAATAAATCTTTAAAAAATTGTTAATAACTTAAAATAATAGAAAAATTTGGTTACTTCATGTGGTAAATTCATTCTTTCAGTAAGTAATGATGGTAAATTTGTTCTTGAGTTCTTACTATACATCTCATTTCTAAGATACAGTAATAAATGGAATAGTCACAGGCTAATCACTCGGAAATTTTTATCCAATTTATGAAATATCCGAGGAATTTTCTAATATTTAAGCGCTCATCTTTTATATTTTAATTAATTTTAAATTACTTTATATACCCTGAATTTCAAGACTTTGTTCTTAAAATTTAGTGATCAGAAATCTTATCATTTCTTTAAAAAATGTTTTTAAGATGTATTTATTTTACTTTGCATGTATGGATGTTTTACCTCATTCATATATGTGTGTGTACCACATGTATGCCTATTGGATCCCCTGGATGGGAGGCTATGGATGGTTGTGAACCACTATGTGGTACTTATAATTGAGCCCAGGTCCTCAACAAAAGGGACAAGGGCTTTTCACCTCTCAGTTATCTCTCCAGTCCCTGAAATATGTCATTTTTCAGAGAAGCACACACACACACACACACACACACACACACACACACACACACACACACACACCAATAAAAAAATCCTTGTATTTTAGTTATAAGAAATAATAAAGTTCTAGATACATTTATTTGTATGGTCTCATGGAGTCACTATTTGAGTTTTGTTATGGTTGGTTAAAGACAGGTCTAAGGAGTCAGATCTTTGTGTGTGTGTGTGTGTGTGTGTGTGTGTGTGTGTGTGTGTGTGTGTGTGTGTGTGGGTGTGTAAATGAAGGCATACTTGTGGAGGTCAGAGGACAACTGCTACTATATGGGTCCCTGCTGAGCCATCTTTCAGGCCCCCTTTATTATTTATTTAGTTGGTTAGTTTTGTTGTTTTTTTCTTGTCCTCTTTTGATACAGGCTCTTTTTATGTGTAGTCCTAGCCTGGCCCCTTTTTTCTTTTTTTTTTTTTCCCCCCTTTTTTCTTTTTATTATAGAGTATTAAAGTTAGTACAACCTAAGTTGTTGTGTAGTATATGGTTTTGTTGATTTTGGCTGATTGGCATTTTATTACTAGTATCTATATTGCCCGACTGGCCCCAAATTCCCTTGGTATGCTTTTAGAATAATCAGCCTGATTCACTCTCTGAAGTAGCTGGACTACAAGTGGTATAACTAAATATAGGTTGTCTGGCATAGTCATTCATTTCCTCCCGACACCCGAGACAGAGTCTCACTGTGTAGCTTTAGCTGTTCTAGAACTTATTACGTAGACCAAGCTGGCCTAGAACTCAGAGATCTACCTGTCTCTGCCTCCTGAGTGCTGGGATTAAAGGTGTGCGCTACTGTGTCTGGCTTCATTGATTTTAAAAAAAAAAAAGTTTTTATTACTTCTTTGAGAATTTTGTGTTTTGATTGTATTCAACACCCCAAACTCTACTCAGATCCATACTCCCTTCTCTACCCACCCAACTTTGTATCACTTTTTAAAAAATTATCTTTTTATTTAAATCTATCAAGACTTGTACTATCCAGATAGTCTTATGTATGTGGTCTTCAACTGGAGCGTGATGACATAGCAGTGACTAGCTATACTCTTAGAGAAAACTGACTCCGCCTATCCCAGCAAGTATCAGTTACCAATAGTTCCTTAGCTAGGGGTAGAGTGGGACTTTGTGCCCCCCCCCTTGGAGATAGGGTTGTCTTGGAACTCATTATGTAGACCAGGCTGACCTCAAACTCACAGAGATCTGCCTGCCTCTGCCTCTTGAGTGCTGGGATTAAAGGTGTGCGCCACCATACCTGACTTACCAACTCTTCTCTTTGTGCTAGAATTTGAGCTGGCCTGGGCTTGCACAGGTCTTGTATATATATATGCTATCATAATTGCTATGAGTTCATGTGTGCAGCTGCCCTGCTATGTTCAGAAGACACTGTTTCCTTGTCGTCGTCTGCTCTTAAACTATTCCTTCCCCCGCTTCCACAATGATCGCTAAGTTTTGGGATAAGGGAGTATGATATATATGTTCCATTGAAGACCAAACATTCCACAGTCTCTTAGTTCTCGCTTCCTTGGCCATTTGTGAGTCTGATGAAGACTGAGTGATGCATCAATCTATGGGCATCTAAGTAAGTCACTGGTGTCAGTTACTGTGTCCAGTTAGTAGTAGGTTCACCCTGGGGCCCATGACTTATCTAGCCATAGATTCTCAGACCAGTAATGGTGCCAAATACGGGTTTCACATGACATCCGATCTGAAAGTGGTTGGTTGCATCTCTGATTGTCCTGCCAGCGGTGCACCAGTGGCCATGTCTTGCCAAGCCATCCGTTACTGCAGTAGACTCTTACTGTCAAGTTTCAGAGGTAACTAAGAGCTTAACAAGGGCAATGACCTTCAGTGTCTTGTAGAGTCTGTGGGACCTAACTTGCCAACAACTCTGTCATCTCTGGTGTTGTCTAGAAGGGCATTGCTACCTCATTATATATAGGGCGACTCACTTTTAACTATGTATGTGTATATTTTAAGGAAGCTTCTTTTAGCAGTTGTTTTCCATATGGCTTTTTCAAAAGGTCTTTAGTGGAACTTACCCCTTCCTATTCCATTTTCTGCCCTGTCCTCCCTGCCTCACCTCAATTTAACCCTTCCTGTTATCACTAGTCTTTTTTAACCCCTTATAACAGTATATTCTCTCTCTTCTCCCTTAAAAGCACCCCTCCCCCATGGCCCCTTATTAATATTCTGACATTTGGGTATTCCAGATGAAACACATATATCTGAAGATTCAAAGCTACAACCACAAATGAAAGAAAATGTACACATGCTGTTTGTCTTCCTGGGTCTGGGTTACCTTACTGAGAATGATCGTTTTCTTCCCCATTTACCTGCACATTTCACTTTTCTTAATAGTTGAGTAATATTCCCTTGTGTAGGTGTACCAAATTTTCATTATCTGTTCAGCAGCTGATGGACATTTACGATGTTTCATGCAGATCTACAGAACATTCCACTCAAATACTAAAGAATACATGTTCTTCCAAGCAGCCCATGGGACTTTCTCCAAAACAGATCACATAGTAGGACACCAAACAAGTTTCAACAAATATAGGAAAATCGAAATCACATCCCGCATTCTATCTGACCACAGTGAAATAAAGCTGAATGTCAACAATAGAAGTGATAAAAAGTACACAAATTGAACAACACACCACTGAATCAACATAGAGTGAAAAGAGAAATAAAGAAAAAAGTTTTCAATTCCTCGAATTGAACTTGTGAAAATGGAAACACAGCATATCAACATCTAGGAGGCCTAGTGAAGGCAGTGCTAAGAGGAAAGCTTATAGTACCATGTATGTACATAAAAATATTTGGGAAATGCTTCCTACTAATTTAATGATGCACAGGGAGGCCTTCGAGAACCAAGAGCCATCAGCACCGCAAACAAGCAAGCAGGAGAGATCAAAATCAGGGCTGAGGGAGGCTATGGCTCACCACAATGAGGGCTGAAATCAGTGAAGAAAATACAAAGAATGTTCTTTAAAGGACTGACATGACTTTAGCTAAATTAGGCAGAAGAAAGAGAGGATCCAAATTTATTAAGTAGAGATGAAAAGGGAGACAATACAACAGACACTGAGGAAATTCAGAGAACCTTAAAGACATACTGAAAATCTGTATTCCCCTGAACTGGAGAATCTAAAATAAATGGGTGACTCTAGAGATAATCTTGACCTACCAAAGTGCAGTCAAGATGAAGCAATGATTTGCTTTCATCCTGTTAACAAGTGCTTAACAGTAACAAACTGAGGAAAAGATGATCCCCTTTGGCCTCAGTTTTAGAGGGTTCGGTCCATGGTTCCTTGGCTCTGTGTTTAAGTGTCTCAAACATTATTTATAAATATAGATTTATAAAGATTTTTGAGCTTCTGCGGTTATATTACTGTGCAAATAATTCAAACTAAGACTCGGGAGAAGAGATAAAAAAGAGATCATTGTTACTAGGGGGCTTAGTAGCTCCTACAGACATTGGAAGAAATAACTGACACAAGGTTTTCCTGTTCTGTGAGAACCACACAGTAAAAGGGCAGTTTTATGTGGAAGTTGACTTGCAATAGCACCACACAGTAAAAAGCCTCCTGGTGTTAGGAACACACTTCATTTCAATGGTTTGGAGTTGTCCCTTTCTTCTTTTGCAGGTATAGAACAAGATGCAGTGAATACTTTTACCAAATATATATCTCCAGATGCTGCTAAACCAATACCAATTACAGAAGCCATGAGAAATGACATCATAGGTAAGTAGTGGTTGGAAGTCATTGGGAAAAGAACTGACTGGTTTATTGACTAGGATTTTTTAAATTAACATTATTATTGGTATTTGGTTGTTTGTTTCAGACAGGTTCCTACTATAATGCCATGGCTGGCTTGGAACTCCATGAAGCAAAGGCTGGCCTCGTAGAATCCATCTGCCTCTGCCTCCTGAGTGTTGGCATAAAGGCATGCACCCCCACACCCATCCAAAAATTATTTACTATTTTTATGTGTATATATGTGTGTATGCATGAATTTATGTGTATCACATGAGTGCAAGAGCCCATGGAGAACAGAAGAGGGCATTAGGCCCCTGGAAGTGGAGTTACTGGTAGTTGTGTGTAGCTGTGTGGGTGCTGGGTACTGAACCTAGGTCTTCTGCCAGAACAGCAAGTGCTCTTAACTGCTGAACCATCTCTCCAACCCTGTGTGTGTGTATGCGCGCGCGCGCGCGCGCGTGTACACATATGTGGAATGTAACAGTTCTTTTCCTTGTTTGTTTGTTTTTTCTAGACAGGGTTTCTCTGTGTAGCCCTGGCTGTCCTGGAACTTGTTCTGTAGACCAGGATAACCTCAAATTCAGAGATCTACCTGCCTCTGCCTCCCAAGTACTGGAATTAAAGGTATGTGCCACCACCGCCCAGCTCCTAGTCTGTTTTCAAAGTACCTTTTTAAAAAATTTAATATTTATTTTATTTGTATGTGTGTGTGCTTATGTATGAAGCATGTACATGCAGGAGCCCACAGAGGTCAGAAGAGGTGCATTTGATCCCCTGGAACTGGAGTTATAGGTGATTGTGAGCCTCCATGTGGGTGCTGGAAACTGAACCTAGGTCTTCTGCAAGAGCACTAAGTACTCTTTAGTGCCATTTTTTTCTGCCCCTCCCCCCCCCACACACAAGGTACTTTCCTTTTATCATTTTAGCTCACTTCTCTCTTGCATGTTGACCCAGATTCTTGGCCTGGGACCAGTAATAGCAAGCACAAGAATAATCATTTTTTATTGACTACTCTTGTGTGTCTCAGACAATATTCTGAGTATTTTCCTTGTATAAATATATTTAATAAGAATCTCATGGATCAATACAATTACTGTTTTGTAAATGAGGAAGCTTGAGAATACAGAAGTGAGGTGCTTTCAAGGACATGACATGAGGGTTTGTGTTTAGTTTTTATTTAGAGACAGGGTCTCACTGTGTAGCACTAGCTGGCCTAGAACTTGCTATGTAGACCAGGGAAACTCAGATTCTGCCTGCCTCTACCTTCTGGGGGCTGGGATTAAAGGTGTGAACCAACATGCTCTTCAGTGACAGTGTGTTCATTCTGTAAGTTGATATTAGCCTTCTTTTATGACCTCACATCCCTGCCAAAAAAGACTAGAAGAGAAAAATTAGTATTTCCATCATACATATATCTGCATAGACAAAACTATGTCAGCAGCTGCATTTCTCCGTGGCTCAGAGTTTCCAAATGGGGAGGAGAGGCACTGGAGAAAGGGCTAAGAGGCTACGAGTGCTTCCTGCTCTACCGGAAGATCCATTTCAGTTCTCGGTGCCCTGTAACTCCAGCTGCAGGGGACTCATGTTCTCTTCTGGTCTCTGAGGTTACCTGCACACATATTCTCTCTCTCTCTCTCTCTCACACACACACACACACACACCCTCAGAAATAATAAATAAATAAATTAAATTAAAAAAAATTTTTTTTAAAGAAAACTCTTTATTGGGGCTGGAGAGACGGCTCAGCAGTTAAGAGAACTGGCTCCACTTTCAGAGGCCCTGAGTTTGATTCCCAGCACCCACAGTGGCTCACAACCATCTGTAACTCCAGTTGTAGGGGTCTGGGCTTCCGTGGGCACCAGGCATGCATGTGGTGCACAAAAATAAATGCAGACCAAACACCTGTTCACATAAAATAAGTTATTTTTTTAGAAATTGAGACATCTGAGTGTTCTGTGCACAGCTGCAATCCCAGTATTGGGGAGGAAGAGGCAGGGGAGAAAGATAGTAAATGATGCTGAGAGGTTAAATAAGATAACCACTAAGAATCTGGAGGATCTGGCACCTCCACATACCCTCCTCATCTTAGTAATAGTAGACCGTAGACAGAACTTGATTTTAAGAGCCTTAAAGGAGCCAAACCTGGTGGTGCATGCCTTTAATCCCAGCATTCAGAAGGCAGAGGCAGGCAGATCTCTGAGTTCAAGGCAGCCTGGGCTACAGAGCAAGTCCAGAACAGACAGTGCATAGTGAGACCCTCATCTCAAAAGAAAATAGACTACTTAAAGAAAATGAAGAACAGAGTAGAAAGTATTAAAAATTCTTATGAACTATATTGATGTGAAGAGTGAATTAATTAAGTCAAGGGACAAGGTCTTTGGTTTTGTTTTTAAAGTAATGCATTACAACCATATAAGTTTGTTATCACGTTCAAACAAGAGTATGTGTTTAGCATCCTGCAGGGAGCTGATGAAAACGAGATAGCAGGGAAACAGAAGGTGAAGGGAAAGGCTTGTGGTGGTGTAAAGGATGGAATTCCAGAGCTGGAATGGAGGGTTGCTCAGATAGGAACAAGATTGGTTCATCTGGGCTGGGGAGTGGCTTAGTGGTTAAGAACACTTGATGCTCTCGCAGAGGATCCGAGTTCGAGTCTCAACACCCATGTAGCAGTTCACCACGGTAATTCCAATTCCAGGTGATCTGATGGAACCAGGCATGTGTGTGGTGCATATACATACCTATGCGGGCAAAATAGCAAAACACATAAAACAATTAAGAAAGAAAGAAAAAAGGTTCATCTGTAGTGATAGGAGCGAATGTACTCTGTGGAGGGGAAAGAGGGAAGGAATCTCATTGCTCTGGCTTTTCAGTGAAGTAGGAAGCAAAGTCCTCAGCAAAGAGAAGAGAAGAGGTGTTAGATGCTCGAGGGAGAAGCGTGCTGTTGTAAGGATACAGGAAACACTTCGTCTCTTCTGCTGTACTCTCACAATTGTGAGACTAGTCTGTGACCCTGGATAAATGGGGCTTTCCCCATTAACAACCAGTTGTGCAAACGGTTCTCTAGCAGGGGCTACTTAAATGTCTCCAACTACAGACTGCAGACTTGGTCCCATAGTGCGTCCCCCTTCTGAAAAGGTTGTGGCCTACGGTGCTGCTTCTCATTCACCCTCCTCAGGTTTGGCTAGTGTGCTAGAGCAGCTTGTAGAGTTCAGGGAAATACTTAGATTTTCTGATTTGTAATAAAGGGCAGAAAGGATGCAGATGCATAGTCAGTGGAAGGCTATGTGCAGGGCAAATGAGAGACGGGATGTGGAGCTTTCACGCTTTCTCCACATGCACACCACCCTGTGTGTGGTCATTAATGTGGAACTCCTTTCTCAGGCCCGTACTTAGGTTTTAATAGAGGTTTCATTGTGTGAGCATAACTGAGTATGATTATTGGCCACATGTCATCACCCTGCCTTCAGTCCCCTTCACTGAAAATCCTACCTTCTCACAGGCCATGGTCATAGGTCCCAGTCGTTCTGGTGACCAGACCCCTTCCTGAAACTCTCTAGGGGTTCGTAACTACTGGTTATCCCATAGGCATATGATACTCTCATAACACCAGAGACTCCAAGAAGTTTAAGAGCTCACTGCTAGGAAATTGGTCAAAGACCGCACACATATCCCATTATCACAGCTTAGTATTGTCTGGGAGAGTGGTGAATAAAGGCATCAAGATGTGACCCTTGAGTTTCATTGAGTGGAACAGACTGTTGCTTCAGAGTTTTCCTTGTGATACTGACAGCCAGCTAAACTGCTTATGAATGTACTGTATTTTATTTAGGCAGCTCTCTCCATAACTCTCACTTCTAAACTTTTAAATCCATAATTCATTAGGTTACAATCTTATAAATAGTATTGCTGATTAAAAGTAGTTTGTTTTTCCAGAGGCAGAGGCAGGTGGCTCTCTGAATTTGAGACCACCCTTGTCTACAAAGAATTGCAGACCAGTCAGGCTACATAGTGCCTGTCTCCAAAAAAGAGCTAATGTAGAAACTGTCAAATTGCCCTGTAGAAGATCACTAGTGTATCCACCTGTTAGCAGTGGTATCAGTTTTCCTCTACCCTAGTTAGCTTAAGCATATACTATTAAATAATGTGTGTGTGTTTGCTGAAGCAGTTTTATGCTGATTTTTTGCTTCATTTGACAACTCACAAGTTTATGTATCTCCATAATAGCCATTTTATGCTTTTGTTATTGTTTTTTATTTTTATTTTTTATCTTATTTATTTAGTTTTTTGAGACAGGATTTCTCTGTGTAGTTTTGGAGCCTGTCCTGGATCTCACTCTGTAGACCAGGCTGGCCTCGAACTCACAGAGATCCGCCTGGCTCTGCCTCCTGAGTGCTGGGATTAAAGGCATGTGCCGCGCTGCCAGTTTGTTTTGTTTTTTAAATAGAAGAAAACTGGTAGTGGCTGGATAATGACAAGGGGGCTGCCCTCCTCTGTTCTTTTGGAGTCATCTGTCATGTAATCTGTTAATTGTCATACATGTCCTGATTGTTTTGTTTTGTTTTGTTGTTTTTTGAGACAGGGTTTCTCTATATCACGGCTCTGGCTGTCCTTGAACTCACTTTGTAGACCAGGCCGGCCTTAAACTCACAGAGATCTGCCTGCCACATGTCCTGACTTTAAGAAAATATTTATAGCTGGTCAGTGGTAGTGCATGCCTTTAATCCCAACACACAAGAGGCAGAGGCAGGTGAATCTCTGAGTTCGAGGCCAGCCTGGTCTACAGAGCGAGTTGTTGTTTCAGGACAGCCAAGGCTACTCAGAGAAACCCTGTCCCAAATAACCAAAACAAAAAAAATTTAATTATTAAATTGTGTGTGTACATATTTCTGTGTGTGGGTGTACACACGTGAGTTCAGCTGTCTGTGGAGTTCAGAAGAGGGTCGTATCCTCTGGAGCTGCAGTTAGATATGGTTGTGATCCTACCTCCCATGGGTGCTGGGAACTGAACTCAGACCGGAGTCCTGGAAGAGCAGTGCGTGCTGCTAGCCACTGCTCCGTCTCTTGTCCTGTACCCATTTGTTTTATTTGCCTTCTCATTTTGTTTTTGGAGCAATTTAATGGATAGAGATGCTTGTCTTGTTCAGTGTTTTGATCTGTTTTCCATCTGCATACCTCAAAAGATTTTTCCTGTCTAAGACGTTACCTATATTTTCTTCTCATTCTTCTTATTTATATATTTATTAGTTATTTATTTGGGGGGCAGTGCATATACCGTGGTGGAGGTTGGCCGACAACCTGTGGAAGTGTGTTCTCTTCTTCCACCACATGGGTTCTGGGTATTGAACTTGGGTCATCAGGTTTGGCAGCAAGTGCTACTGAGCCATCTTGCCAGCTCTTTTAGTTCTATTGGAAGCCTCATGTGTATGCCCTAACTATTATTTCCCAATTTGGTTTAAAGTGGGTATAGCTTAAAATTAGTAGAAATTCAATTGCTATTTCTTTCACAGCAAAAATTTGTGGAGAAGATGGACAGGTGGATCCCAACTGTTTCGTTCTGGCACAGGCTGTAGTCTTTAGTGCAATGGAGCAAGAGTAAGTTCATATTCTCACATTAGCATTCCTGGGAATTCTAGCTCCTGGTTAGAAAATGGACTTCACTCAGTTGAAAACAGTGTACTTTTGGAGATAAAGTCATTTGGGGTGATTGAGCTGCAGTATGTGAATGACTGAGAACTTGTTAGTTTAGTAATGCATGTCTTCAGATGGACATCTGTTCAGTTTATGCTCTATTACTAATAATAAGCTGCCTCCAGACTTTTTAAAGTTATTGCTGTATGCCTTTAAAAATCTATATATTCATTCTTTTACTCAGTATTTATTACGTGCTTTGTACAGAGCCACAAGTAGATACCATGCCTGCCTTGAAGGAAGTTATAGCTCAATAAAAGAAACAGTCCGTGTTCTCTTTGGTTACCAAAATATGAGGTAGCATGTGTTAACTCTCAGGAGAAAGCCACAAACCCATTGAGAGATGGGGAGATGGCTTACAGCTGAAAGGAATCAGGAGCACCACCTTGGGAAATAAGGTAGCCTTGACCCAGGCTTTTAAGATTTTATAGGAATAAAGCCAGGCAGCAGTGTCACAGGCCTTTAATCCCAGCACTTTGGAGGCAGAGGCAGGCAGATCTCTATGAGTTCAAGGCCAGCCTGGGCTACAGAGCAAGTTCAGGACACCCAAGGCTAGACAGAAAAACCCTGCCTTGAAAAAGAAAAAGATTTAATAGAAATAGTTTTGGAAAGAGTGTTTGTTTGTTTGGTTGGTTGGTTTGATTTTTTTTTTTTCCAGTTCCACTCTTTCCTTCAAATATCCTCTTTTTGTCCACGTGCAGGCACTTTAGTGAGTTTCTGCGAAGTCACCATTTCTGTAAATACCAGATTGAAGTGCTCACCAGTGGGACTGTTTACCTGGCTGACATCCTCTTCTGTGAGTCAGCCCTCTTTTATTTCTCTGAGGTAAATTCTGCATTTTCTTTTATATTCTGCTAGAGCATTCCAGCCCCATGCTGGGGCTCTGTTTAAACAAAATGACATAGAAGAGACAAGTCATTTCCAAAGTGATTGTTTTAGGGTGTACTTTATGGCAAAAATACTTTAATGGCATATTCATCGATTAAAGAGAAAACTCAGTGTAAAATAACCTTAATTTTAAAAAAGCACTTTAGTTATGCTACCAGAGAATAGATTATAAAAAATATTTTGAACTATTTTAAGGCTATGGAATTGGAGGCTAGGAATATAGCTCAGTTGGCAGTGTGCTTGCCTAGCGTGCATGAAGCTCTGGGTTTAGTCTCTAGCACCACGTGGAGCTCGGCATGGTGGTGCACACCTGTAACGCCAGCACTCTTAATTGGAAGCAGGAGGATAGAAATGTAAGGTTATCCTTTCTTCGCTCCATAATGACTTCAAGGACATCCTGGGCTACTTGAGCCCCTGCCTTAAAAATAAATAAATAGGAGCTGGAGAGATGCTCAGTAGGGAAAGTGCTTGCTGCATGAGCACGAAGCTCCGAGTTCAAATCCAAGAGCCAATGAGAGAAGCTGGGCGTGGTGGCACAGCTCTGTGCTCAGCGGTGGGGTGACTTGCTGCTGGTCTACTCGGTTGGTGAGCTTCGGACTAAGAGACCTCGTCTCAAAGAATAAGGGAGAGTGAAGTAAAGGAACACGTCTGATGTCAGTCTCTCTCCTTCATATGCTCACACGTGAACACAGGTACCCGCACATAAACATGCATACACACACTAAATAAAAATGAAGTAATGCCATAGAATTATCTGGTTCATTCCATTGTGGTAAATACCAGATTTCAGAAGAAGGAAAGAAAAGTAAAGTTTTCCCATGTTCATTTTTATTTTTGCTACTTGATAGAATTTTTCAGTATAATATTTGAAGCAAACTGTAAATCTGTTAATCTCTTTGAGCTATATATGGTATTTTTCAATATTTATTCATCTTATGAGTCTTAAAAAGTTATTAGCATTTGATCATATATAATAATGAGCTTTATTATGACATTATAGATGCGCATAATGTATTTTGATATATTCACACAAATACCTTCTTATCTGCCCCTCCCTCCTCCTGATTTCCTTCCTTTCCCAACTGCCCCCCTCTTCTGTTTGCTTATGTTTTTGATTTTGTGGGTTTTGGGGGGTGAGTGTGTTTGTGTATGTATGTGTGTCCAAGTGAATTTCATTAGGGTTGTTTACAGAAACATGGACACCTTACATTGACTTTACCACTAAAGAAAATGTCTCTCCATCCCCCATCTATCATTAGCTTCATGCAGATCTTTGGGGAGCTATGCAGCCCCGTGATCCCTTCCCCCTTCCACAACAAGGTTGTTGATGGGCCTAGTCTGCAGAGATTTTTGCAGGTAATCACAGCTGCTGTGAGTTAACAGGGGAATAGCCACATTGTGCCTGAAATTCAATGTTCCTCATCACTTGTTCTCTTCCTCCATCTCTTACATTTTTTCTCACTCTTCTTCCATGATTTTCCTTGAGCCTTGGAGGGAGTGATACAGATGTCCCATTTATAGTTGCATATTCAACAGTCATTTATGGGGTCTCTAATCATCACTGTTCACTGCAAAAAGCTCTTCAACCTGACATGGTGCCACATGCCTTTAATCCCAGCACTGGGAAACAGGCAGGTGGAGCTCTGTCTGACATAGTGAGTTTCAGGCTAGCCAGAGCTACATAGTGAGAGACCCTGTCTCAAAAAAAAAAAGTCTCTCATCAAAACTAATAGCACTATTCTGTGTGTATGAACATGTTATTTAGAAGGCGGCTTGACAGGCACATCATATCCATTTAGCAAAACAACACAGTGTCTTCCCCACTAGGACTTATGTATGGCCTCCTCAGCCTTGAACTTTTGACTGGATTTAAACTGCCAAATGTGGATTCCTTCAAATATAATCAGAAAACAAATTGGTTCACTCCATAACAGACTTGCCACTTTTGTACCAGTGGGCATATCTTGCCTGGCTGGTCAGGAGCAATAAACACAGAGACAAGTAAGATTGTAACAATTCTCCCCTAGTACACTCCATGGTGCCTTCCAGCTAACAAGGGCTATTCAGCAGGGAAGAAGCTTCCATTCCATTTCCAGCTTGATTTCTCTTTGTCATGTGACCAAAGTGATTTCTTCAGCAAGTGGGGTCTTCCCATCTAGTTTTGGTGGGCAAACAGCCACAGTGGCAATTGCCTGTATTGTTCTGAGGGCCTTGGGGGCCTCCATACTCAATAGCTGGTAGGAAGATAGCATGCTCTGGCACTTAAGTTTGGTTTAATGACCTGTGGCTTTTGGGAGCAATATATCCACCTAAAGCAGGTGAGGCATACAGGTTTGTATAACTGATTTTTAGGCTTTAGCAAATGACATTTTTTTATTGCAAGACAAATGACTATTATAAAGATTCCCGTGGTAGGTTCGGGTTTAACCTCCAGGAGGCCATAGGTTCACAGTCCCGGGCATCACTTGGCAAAACAACTCCCAGTTTCATAAAGCAGCAACCTATGTGCTTGAATTGTGCCTTTTTGCAAGACTGCAGTAAACACACAGTTGACTGCCTTTTTATCTTTTCCCTTTTTGATCATGCTTGAGATCAGTATTTACTCAGATTGTCTTCCTGAAGTGTCCATGTGTCCTCATGGAATGGTAGCCGTGATTAGGTGTAAAAAAATTAATTCAGTTAATTCATTGTCATTACTGGTAAGGAAGTATTGAGTCCAAAGTAGTCTGTTTTTTGTTTGTTTATTTGTTTGTTTGTTTGTTTTTAAACTCCAGTGAACTGAAGTTTGCATCTCCTCATATGTGGTATGGGGTTTTGTTGATGTTAATGTTACTCCCCTCTCCCCTGAAAGAATATTTAAAATTTGTCTACTTCAAGTTTCTGTATGTTGCTGAAGGGTGTGGAGTGAAGGGGATCTTTTTTTTTTTTTTTTTAAATTTTTTTTTTTGGTTTTTCGAGACAAGGTTTCTCTGTGTAGCTTTGCGCCTTTCCTGGAACTCGCTTTGGAGACCAGGCTGGCCTCGAACTCACAGAGATCCGCCTGCCTCTGCCTCCCGAGTGCTGGGATTAAAGGCGTGCGCCACCACCGCCCGGCCTGAAGGGGATCTTTTTTACTGTATTACTAACAACATAAATTACAGGTGGTGAGGGAACTGCTTCTTGTCTTACTCTTTCGTGTTTTTCTTCCTAGTACATGGAAAAAGAAGATGCAGTGAATATCTTACAATTCTGGTTAGCAGCGGATAATTTCCAGTCTCAGCTTGCTGCCAAAAAGGGCCAGTATGATGGACAGGAGGCCCAGAACGATGCCATGATTTTATATGACAAGTGAGTTTGTTTGGTCAGTGTGTTCAGCAGGGGTTTTGAGCATTCGCTGTACACTGTGGTAGTAATGTTGACAAGGGTCCATCTCCTGTCAGAGGAGTCCGCTGGACATTGCGTAAACACTGATTGGATGTGTCGGATGCAGAGCTCTCCAGTCAGAACAAAAGTCCCTGCTGAGGAAATCGAGGATTTCTGTAGAGCAAGCAGGGTCAGAGTGGGGCGCTCAGGGGGGCTGCACAGATGGAAACTGGGTGGCTCTGGGTTTGATTAAGAAGTCTTACCTTGGGGCTGGACAGCTCAGCCACTAAGAGCACCACTGCTCTTCAAGAGGATTGTGTGTGCGTGCCCAGCACACACATGGCAACTCACAAGCACCTGTTACTTCAGTTATGGGGGACCCAGTGCCATCTTTCCGGCCTCTTCAGGCACCAGGCTTGCACATGCTGCACAGACATACATACAGGCAGGATACTGAAACACATAAAATAGTATTAATAATAAAATCTATATAGAACGTCATCTTAAGGAAAGAAAGAAACTCTGCTTCAAAGAAAGTAGATGAGTTATCAGTGAAGACTCTCAGCATCACCCTGTGGCCTCCACACACATATGCACACACATGCAAGCTCACTTTCACGTGTACATGTGACCATACGTACATATGTATGTGAAAAGAGAAAAAAATAAATTGAATTTTGCCAGGCAACAAAAGCTTGAAAGCAAATTTCACACAAAAGCCTTGACACAATTATAAGAAGTAGAGAAGTGTGGCACTTAGAAGAAACTGAAATAGAGATAGAGTGTATAGAGCCCCGTGGACCAGCACCTGGGTTCCATCATCTCCAGCATCAGAAAAAGGAAAGCGTTTGGATAATAAAAGTGATATTTCTAGAACATAATAGGAAGTACACTAAACTATTTGGAGCACATTAGAAAGGGTATAGATGTATTATACATTCTATCTACATTAATAATAAAAACTAGTTTTTTTTCAGTAGTTTGTGGATTTGTCTTCAGTGGTGGGAATTGAACCCATGGCCTTGTACATGCTAAGCATGCCCTCTACTTCTGGACTACATCAGCCAATTTCTCACTAGTTTTCACCAAAGACAAGAAGTTGAGGAGGAAAAACCATACTGTAAATAAACTAAAAACATCTGCTTGGGCAAGTGAGAAAACTGGCCAGCCCCATCACCATGTCGCCTTTACGTTTATCTTTTCTCTCTTGTGAGGAGATTTGTTGTTTGTGTCCATAGACAAATGTAAAGAGGTGACTTGGGACTAAAGAACCTCACAGGCCTGGGGGCTGGAGCAACGACTCAGCAGCTAAGAGCACTGGCTGCTCTTCGGAGGACTCAGTTTCTGTCCCCAGCACCCTCAGGCAGCTCATAACTGTATGTAACTCCATCTCTAGGGGATTTGACACCCTATTCTGGCTCCGTGGGTACCTGTACACAGTTTGCACATTCACACATAGAAAGAATTAAATACAAAAGCAAGAGTTCTGTGATGTTAGAGTGAAAGGGCCAGGCATAACTAGACCAGTGGGTGCTAAACATGGGACCACAGGTTTATGTCAAGCTGTCTGTATAATATTCATCTAGGAGGGGCTGGCAGGATGTCTCAATGGTTAAGAACACTGGCTGCTCTTCCAGAGGACTGGAGTTCAGTTCCCAGCACCCATGTTTCAGTTCACAACCATCTATAACTCCAGTTCCCTGGAATCCGAGGGCACCAGGCACCTGTGTGGTGCGCAGACACACTTGTAGACAAAACACTCAAGCACAGAAAATGAAGTCAATCTTTAAAAAAAAAAGATTCATCTAGGAGCTTGTTAAAAATTCACTTCTAGGGGCTGGAGAGATTGCTCAGAGGTTGGGAGTACTGACGGCCCCCCCAGATTCAGTTTCCAGCACCCACACAGTGGTTCACAACTGTCTGTGACTCCAGTTCCTGCGGATCTGACACCCTCATACAGACAGACATACAGGGCAAAACCCCAATGCACATTAAATAAATCTTTTTAAAAAATCACTTTCAGTCCTGCGTATTAGATTCTCATTCAGCAGGGTTGAGGGGGGACCTCAGAAATACTCACTCTCTTGAAAACATTTGATAATTCTGATGGATAATCAGGTTGGGCATCTGGTCTGATTTTTCTGTTTTGAAGGTAAGGAACTAAGTCCCATGAAGGAAATTGTTTCTCAAGATTGTAGAGCAGGGTAGCGGCAGAACTTTAACAGAGATCTAATTCTTCCTGTTCAGCCCAGTGCTCCCTGATCTCCCTGCTGTGGTGGGCCAGTGGAAGGTATTGGGGAAGGACAGTGATGGCTGTTGAATGGGAAGAATGGACATTTGAAGTTTGGTCTGGGGTGCCTAGAAGTTGAGCTCATGGAAGAGTGCTTGTCATCGCTTACAGCCCAGGAGAAGTGCTTTTGGCTATGGAAATGCTGACGAAAAGAGAATAGTTTGTGACCGCTGGAGCAGAGCAGTGGCCAGGGCCCCACTCGGTCCTGGCTGGAGCTCAGCAACTGCCCAGAGCAGATGGAGTGTTTCCACTGAGTCCCATTTTCGCTCTGGGAGTCTTTCTCTGAAGATGGACATCCTATGGGTGCTGCTGTTTTTGTTAGGTGGCTGTCCGGTTGGACTTCGTAGTTTCCTGCTTGTTTGTTCCTCTATTTCCTATGCATCATCACCCCTTCTGTGTTTCTGTCATAGATGGACAGACGCCACTAGAGTATTTGAAAGTTTTCTTTACTCCTGCTTGTACTCTTTTGTGTCCAAAATCCAAGTACCAAATATCAGTTGACTATATCCCATTACATTCAAACACTTTTGGGTTCTCATTAACTACTGTTTCCTTTCCTCTCTAAAGTATCAGCAGGTCCTTTGAGTTAACTCCAGTTATCCACCTGCTTCATCTTATTACTGTTCATTTTGGATTCCCACGATTATTACTATGCTTTGTAGGTATGGTGGCATGCTCTCACTTTATCTTGTGCACAAATCTTTTTTCAAGGAAAATGATAGTCTTAGGAAAATTTCTTAAAAACTCCTTAAGTCCTAAACAGAAAACAAGTGCCCATTAAGTGTGTGCAGCTGGTTGATTTCTTTGCCTCTGCATAACCTGACTCAAACTCAAATAGCAGAGCTGACTGGGCAGGAACTAAAGGTGTTTGGAAGACATGTGGGAAGGAGCAGATTTCCTATATGAAGTGAGAATTATAAAAGGCTACACAGTGGCACTTTCCTTACCTGGTTTGGTAGTTGAAAGTCTGGAACAGAGCCATGTAGCCTCAGATAAAAATGTCTAAGTGTGGACAGCTGCTTCAGTTTGTGTATCATTTGGTTTTACTTGGAATCTCTTTCTGCCATAGGTACTTTTCCCTCCAAGCCACACACCCCCTTGGATTTGATGATGTTGTACGATTAGAAATTGAATCCAATATCTGCAGGGAAGGTGGGCCACTTCCTAACTGTTTCACAACTCCATTACGTCAGGCCTGGACAACCATGGAGAAGGTAACTAACGTCTCCCGATATTAAACTACAACAGCAGTGGGAAACTGAAGTGATATAGCATAGTGATTAAGAGGCTTTGAATCTTGACTTGATGTGTATTAACCTCATTTTTATAGGCTAAGTGGCCCAGGCAGTTACTGAACTTCTCTATTGATCATTGCATTGAAACACTTAATTTTATGTATTTTGATCACTTTTGAGATATCGCTAACAGCTTAATCATGGTGTTAATGTTTGAAATAACGTATTCTAATGAATTAGAGCAGATTTGACAGGAGTTGTACTGAGTCCAGAGGAAACTCATAAGTTTATGTCACTGAAATGTTTCATGTTTATCCAGGTGGAAAGTGATTGATTAAGCACTATTATGAAATGCCATACACACACACACACACACACACACACACACACACACACACACACACACCAAAAAAAAACAAGCCAACACTGAACTTAGACTTTAGAGAAGTAGCTCAGTCAAACTTGAGTTAGGATCCTAGGTAATTTCTTAAAAAGCCAGGTGTGGAGAGGTGGCATCTGTAATCCTAGCACTGAGGACCTAGAAACAGAATCCAGCCAATTGGTGAGCCCAAGTTCAGTGAGAGACCCTGTCGTAAAAGATAAGGTTGAGAAGTGATTGAGGAAGACACTTAAATTAGCCTCTGGTTTTCATTTGCATGCATATTCACGTACACACACACACACACAAAAAAAAAAGACTCAATTTAAAAGAATTAGTATAAAAGGCAAATTATAGCAAAGCTAGAGATAATGTAATAACATATCAATAACAACACAAGATAGTAACTTTTTCATGATTAGAATGAAAAATTTTCTGGTTGAAAGGAAAGTCCAAGTCTAGGGGGAATATAAAAAAATAAAAACTTAATGAGAAATAAAATACGGAGAGATAGGATGTAGTTGGGTATGGCGGCACACAGCCTGCCGTCTCAGATGGTGAGAAGATTGAATGGTCAAGGCTGGGAGGTGGGGTGGCTTGGTTGGTCACGTGCTTGCCGTACCAGCACGAGGACTTGAATTTGGTCCTCAACTCAAGTAAAAAAGCTGAGTGAGTGGCACACATCTGTACTATCCTGTGCTCAACAGGCAGAGACAGGAGGTCCCTGTGGCTCACTGGCCACCAGTGTAGAGTCATTGGTGACCTCCAGACCAGCAAGTACCCTGTCTTAAAGGAGTAACCCAGTTCCTGAGGATGACACACACATAAACTGACATAGGATAGAAAAGAGAAGAGCTGGCAGGATTTTCAGAGATCGCTTCCCAGAACAGATGGTAGAAACAGAACCGACACCCGAAAGTTGTCCTCTCACCTCACATGTGTGACATAGACCATGGACACCTACTTGCTCATAACACATGTGTATGCATGTGTGCAACAATAAATAAAATTGAATTGAAGAAAAGAGAAAATTCAAGACCATCTTGGGCACTGAGGGAAATCCTGTCTCAAAAAATAAAGATGGACTATGTCTGTAACTCAGTGATAGGGCGCTTGACTGTCATGTGGGAGATCTTGGGTTCTATCCTCAGTTCTATCCTCAGTACTTTGGGGGGAAGGAGGACAAAATAGGTCCGTGTCGTCCCCCCCCCCCCCCCCCCCCCCCCCCCCCCGTCTTCCCCCCTCTTTTTTTTTCCCCCAGGGCCTTGCGCTTGCTAGGCAAGCACTCTATCACTGAGCTAAATCCCCAACCCTAAAATAGCTCTTAATAAATGTTCACTAGTAAGGAATTTGTACTAGGGTTTTTTGGTTTTGTTTTGTCCAGAGGGATGGGGGAGTTGGAGACTCTCCAAGACGTTTGATCATGTGGCTCAGGCTAGCTGTGAACTCATGATCATCCTACCTCCACCTTCCAAGTGCTGGTTATAGACATGAGCCACCATGCCCCCACTACCCTGCAGTATATTATTAACAGTAGCAGGCCCTAGCAGGTAGATGAAGAAGGGATAGGAGACATGAGTGATGCATGCAGCAAATACTTTTGAATATTTCTGTACTGGTTATTGGTCTCACAGTGGTAAACAGTGGGGCTTTTGACCTTTGAAACTTAGGTCTCTAAGAAGACATTTTAATCATAGACAGACATATCCACAGTTGTGCTAAGTGCTGTGAAGGAAGTCTGTAATGGAAAATGAAAATGATAAACATGAGTACTTATTCAGTAAATTCAGCACCATTAATAATTCTTAAATAACTATAAAAGCATGCTCCAATTGGCATTTATTCTACAAGTGCCATTAGTTATTTGGAAACAGATGAAAAACCAGCATTGGGAAGCTTGTGTAGGTATAGATAATCTGATGTATTGCCCGTGATATAAATTGATAACATCCCTTTGATAGATACATTTGCCATATATTTGAAGGTTAGAGTTCACCTTAGCAGTCATAGTTCTTGTAAATTTTTTTTAGTTTTAGTTTTCATGTCTATGTATAGGTTTGTATATACCCCTGGGTGAAACTGCCCATGGAGGCCAGAGGTGTTCTATCCACTTGGAGCTTGAGTTACTGACATGGGTTCTGGAAACAAAACTTGGTCCTTTTCAAGATCAGTTCAAACTCTTAATCACTGAGCCATCTCTGCGGCCTCCACTCCTTATCATTTATCTCAGAGAAGTCAGTTCAGAATTAAAATCACTGTGGTGGAGTCGGACTGTTTTCTTCCCACTGTGTAAGGTCCATGGAAGGTGTGGGTGGACAAGGACCCTGTAGTGGCAGTGGAAACTGGGTAGTGGTGTAAGAGGGAGAAGTGCAAGTGCTGCTGTGAACGACAGGCTATGTGTAGGTAAAGCTGTTTAAATTAAGTGCTAGGTGTGTTTGCTTGTTTTTAAAATGCTGTTCCTCTTTCAGGTCTTTTTGCCTGGTTTTCTGTCCAGCAATCTTTATTACAAATATTTGAATGATCTCATCCATTCAGTTCGAGGAGATGAGTTTCTTGGAGGGAATGTTTCACTGGCTGCTCACGGCTCTGTCTGCCTTCCTGAGGAGTCTCACTCAGGTGGTTCAGATGGCTCCAGTGCTCAGGTATTAGCTAATTTCAGTCTATCAGTGGGAAGGAATGCACACAGAGCCTTTCCTTCAAATGTCAGCAGCAGATCATATTTATATGTTTTAAGTAGTACAAGAAAATAGAATCGCCGGGCGTGGTGGCGCACGCCTTTAATCCCAGCACTTGGGAGGCAGAGGCAGGCGGATCTTTGTGAGTTCGAGGCCAGCCTGGGCTACCAAGTGAGCTCCAGGAAAGGCGCAAAGCTACACAGAGAAACCCTGTCTCGAAAAAACCAAAAAAAAAAAAAAAAAAAAAAAAAAAAAAAAAAGAAAATAGAATCAACTTACTTATAAATTCTAATCAGACTACCAGTTGTGATTAGGTTTATGCTATATTGTACCATGCTCTTTCATTAAAGCTTTCATCTGCCTGACAACCATGCTTTTCGTTTTAGTAACCAGATGTGCTTGCATTCATGCACAGGAGTGTGCCTGCTGTGTGTGTGTGTGTGTGTGTGTGTGTGTGTGTGTGTGTGTGTGCGCGCGCGCGCAGAGGCCAGAGGTCAGACTTGGAAGTTATTCCTCAGACATTATTCACCTTGGTTTTTGGGATAGCATCTCTTACTGGCTCAGGACTTGATACTAGGTTAGGCTGGCTGACCAGCAAGGCCCAGGAATTTGCCAGTCTCCACCTTCCCAGATGCCATGACCTGCATGGCTGTCAGATTGACCTGACTATGTTTCAGTGACAGTAACATATATAGAAAAGCTGGGATCGGGTGAGCTGTGTACTCTGATGGAGATGCATTAGCAGCCCAGAAAGTCAGTGTATTTATTATATAAAGCTAAATCTCAGTAGGGGGCCTTAGTAGGGGTGCGGTCATCCAGGAAGAAGCAGCAATGGTTGATATTTTCTGCAACACTTGTCAACATCTGTACTTAGACCAAGGGAAGGCCTTGCTATTCCATGGTTCTGAGGCACTGGGGTCCTTGACATGTTATAGTCATGTCCACCATAGACATTCACTCAGGATATTCACTCAGGACTGCATCTGTTCCTCACATCCCAGGGGCTGGGATTATAAGCATTTCACCATGCCCAGACTCTGTGTGGGTACTAGTGGTGGATCTTAGGTTTTCATGCTTGTATGGTGAGCACTTTACCATCTCCTCAGCCCAGTAAAAAGTATTTTATAACTCTGAAGAGCTCTTTTTACAATTATTTGAGAAATTTTAATAACTAAGTTTAGCATACTTTTTATTACTAGTGAACTCAGATTGTTTTAATTTGTTTAAAACAGTATATGTATGATGTGTGTGTGTTAGTGCAGGCACACAGTTAGTGTGGGAACCAGAGGATAGCCTGCAGTGGTCAGTTCTCTACTCCCCCCCCCCCCCAACTTCCATGTAGAGAACTTGAGTCCTCCTACCTCAGGCTGGCCTTCCTTGTTTATTTGTTTGTTCTGTTTTGTTTATTTGTTTCACTTGCTTTTTGAGCTGTTTATTTTTTTAAATGTTAGATAGCATACCTTACCTGATTCTCCCTAAAATCATAGGAAGTGGGATGTTCCCAAGACAGCAAATCAAAAGGAGGCATTAAGACGTTAACTGAGGGCAAGGAGATAAGTGCAGTCAGAAGAAATACTTGTCATGCAATCTGAGTTCAATTCACAAACCCACATAAAGGTGGAAGGAAGAACACACTCCACTGAGTTCTCCTCTGGCCTCCATGTGCACACTGTGGCACATGTTGCCCACTCCCACATCATGCAAACATGGGCATGAACAATCATTTTTTAAATTAACTGATTTTTAAAATTTATGTGCTCTGTTGAAATTTCACCTGTATATATTGATCAAAGTCCTACCCATTATCCTCCCATTCCCTTCCACCTTGTAAAGTTGTGTCTTTCAGATTTTTATTTATTTTTGAGACAGGGTCTTACTACATAGCCCTGGCTTTCCAGAACGTATCCCAAAAACCAAGTGTGTAGACCAGGCTATCCTGGAACTCAGAGATTGACTGCCTCTACTTCCTGAGCACTGAGATTAAAGGTGTTCTCCACCACCCACTTCCATTCTAACCCCCTTTCTCTTCCCTTCCCAGATAATTTAGTAACCAAGTATGTCTGTATTCATGCACAAGAGTGTGCCAGCTGTGTGTGTGCAGAGTCAGCCTTGGGTGTGATTCCTCAGACATTATTATGTGAGTGCCAGGGAGAATGTTCACTGGTTAAGAACATTGGCTGCTCTTGTAGAGAACCAGAGTTGATTGCCAGCACACACATCAGGCAGCTTACAACTGTCTGTAAGTCCAGCTCCAGGGGCTCTGATGCCCCCTTTTGGCCTCTGTGGGCATTCTCACATGCATACGCATAAGTAAATAAATCTTTAAAAAAAATATGTGATGGGACATGGTGACACATGCCTTTAATCCCAGCACTCAGGAGACAGAGCAGGTGATCTCTGTGAGTTCCAGCCAGGGCTACATAGTGAGATCTTGTCTTGTTTTGTTTGTTTTGTTTTGTGTTTTTGAGACAGGGTTTCTCTGTGTAACAGCCCTGGCTATCCTGGAACTCACTTTGTAGACCAGGCTGGCCTCAAACTCACAGAAATCCACCTGCTTTTTCCCACCCTCCAAGTGCTGGAATTAAAGGCATGTACTTCACTTGGCATGAGAGCCTGTCTTAAACAAACATGGAGAGATGGCTCTGTGGTTAAGAGCACTGGCTGTTCTTCCAGAGGACCCAGATTCAATTCTCAGTACCTGCATAGTGGCTCACAACAGTCTATAACTCCAGTTCCAGGAGATCTAACACCTTCTTCTGACCTCTGAGGACACCAGGCAGGCATGTGGTGCACAGGCGTACATGCAAGCAAATATTCATGTACATTTTAAAAGTCATTGCCAAATCTAAAGTAATAAAAACTTAGAACTTACTGTTTTCTTCTAAGAATTTGGGGTTTTGACCCACTTTAAAGTTGATTTTATATATGGTGTAAGATAAATGGTTAACTTCACTCTTTTATTTTATAGAAATTGTTGTTGTTGTTGTTATTATTATTATTACAAGCTCTCACTATATAGCTCTGGCTGGCCTAGAACTTGCTATGTACACCAAGCTGGCCTTAAACTCAAAGATCTACCTGCCTGTGCACCTCCACACCCAGGACCCAGCTTCATTCTCTTTCCACTAGATATCCACATATTTCAGCAACATTTCTCAAATACAAAATACAAAAACAAAAAATTCTGTCCCTTTGGCGCACTGTATTGTGTTAATTAATTCCCTTTTTAAAAATCAGTTGACCAAGATGGAAGAATGGTTCAGTGATTAGGAGCACTGGCTGCTCTTCTGAAGAACCAGAGTTCAATTCCTTGCACCCACATGGTGTCTCACAGCCATCTGTAACTCTAGTTCCAAGACATCCTAAACCCTCTTCCCGTTTCCTTGGGCACTGCATACACATGCTGCACCAATATACATACAGGCAAAACATCGATACACATAAAACAAAAAGAAATTAAAAAAAACCGGTTGACTAAGTATGTATGTTTTTCCACGCTTTGAGTTCTAGTCTATTGAATGTCTATGCTTATGTCAATCCCATTATTATTGTTGGATGGGAGATGGGCTTGGACGTGCCGTAGCTTGCTTGTGGAGGTCTGGACGGCTTGTGGAAGTTGGTTCTGTCTTTCTCCCATATCAATCTTTTTTTTTTTTTTTTTAACATTTATTTATTTATTATGTATACAGAAGAAGGTGCCAGATCTCATTACATATGGTTGTGAGCCACCATGTGGGTGCTGGGAATTGAACTCTGGTCCTCTGGAAGAGCAGTCGGTGTTCTTAATCTCTGAGCCATCTCAACCGCCCCCCCATTTTTTTTTTTTATTTTTTTTTTTTTGCTTTTTCGAGACAGGGTTTCTCTGTGTAGCTTTCCGGGAACTCACTTGGTGGCCCAGGCTGGCCTCGAACTCACAGAGGTCCACCTGCCTCTGCCTCCCGAGTGCTGGGATTAAAAGGCGAGCACCACCACCGCCCGGCCCCTATCCATCTTGAGGCTTGAACTTAGGTTGTCAGGCTCGGCAGCAGGCCCCGTTACCCGCTGACCCGCCTCACTTGCTCTAGTTCTGTTGGTTTTAATGCTGTAGCGTTGGCAAGTTAGGATGTATGCATCTTCTTTTCATTTTAGCTCTTAGAGTAGTTTGATATGGGATTTTTGAGACATGGTCTTCCTGTGTAGCATGTCGTGTCCTTAAACTCTTTATCTTACTCCTTGGCCTCCTGAGTGCCAACACACCTAGCCAGTTTGGGTTTTGTTTTGTTTTTTATTTTCAAGATTGTTTTGTCTATTCTGAGTCTTTGCATTCCATATGAACTTAGAGATTGGCTTTTAATTTTGGCCAGGACTGCATGAAGTCAGTAGATACTTCTGAAGTATTACCATTGTAATAATACATTTTCTAGACTATGAAGATAGAATTTTTCCATTTATGTCCTTAAGTTTCTTTCGACATTGTTTTATAATATTATATATCCTTGTTCATTTATTCCTAGATTTTTCCTATTTATTTTATTTCATGTGCATCGGTGTTTTGCCTGCACATACGTCTGTGTGAAGGTATCAGATCCCCTGGAACTAGAGTTACAGACAGTTGTGAGCTGCCATGTGGGTGCTGGGAATTGAACCTTGGTCCTCTGGAAGAGCAGCCAGTGCTCTTAACTACAGAGCCATCTCTCCAGCCCTAGAGTTTTCATTTTGAGGCTATTAGAAATATAGCTGGTTTCTTAATTTTCTTTGCAGGTTTTTCATTTAAAGTGCATAGAAAAACAATGATTTTTGGTATTGATCTCATCCTTTTAGCTCTGTTAAGTTCATTTGTTAGCTCTAAGGGTTCATAGCTTTAGGAGTTTCTGGGTTATCTAGAAACTGTAGTAGTTTGCTTTCTGCCCACTTGGGATGCACTTAGATTCCTTTCTTGCCTTAACTGCTCTGCTGCCTGGAGCTTCTGCTGTAGTGTGGACTAGAAGTGAGAAGAACAGGCAGAGTTGCCTCTTTCCTGACCCCAGAAAAGCTTTGAGCTTTCTCCCCTTTACTGTGCTGTTCAATCTAGATCTGTAGGGTTTAGGTCTGTTCATTTTGTTTTTAATAGATGTTCTCTATAAGATTAAAGAAATTGATTGCTAAATGTGATTTGTATTTTTTTTAATTGCAGATGAATATGTTAGATATTTTAACACTTTTTTTTTGTACTAAGATGACTATAAGTTTGGGAGTTTGATTTTGTTGACATAGTGTATTAAGTTTCTCATGGTTTTCAGATGCCTTGTGTTTCTAGGACAAATTCTACTTGCTCTTACGGCTGAATTTCTTTTTACTGAGGATTTTAGATCCATAAATAATGAAATACTGCCTACACTCTAGATAAATGTTGGTCTGGTGATGTCTGGTCTTATAGTTAAGAGTATGTGAGTTGCTTGTCTCACTCATTGCTGGACTGTACCAGACAAAAGTACCTTCAGGAAGGAACGGCTCTCAGTTCCTGAGTGCTTCCGTCAGCTTGATGCAGTTGGGCACTTGCATCCACAGTCAGGAAGAAGAGAGTGAATGCTTAAGCTTACCTTATTTTCTCCTTTTGATTTTTGTCCTGACCCCATTCCACTGGAATGGTGCCACCCAGATCAGGGTGGATAACCCCTCACAGGTGTGCTAGAAGCTTTTTGTTTGCTTGTTTGGTTTGTTTTGTTTTCAGGTGATTCTAGATCCTGTTGACAGTACTAACCATCACACTGAATAACAGTGCCTCATAGACGTTAGTCCCTTGAACATATCCCAGTGTCGCTTTCTAAGTTAATTATATATTTGGAGGCTTTCTTTCTCAGTATATTGCCTATTCGGTTATTTTATTTAATCTCTCTCTTAGTTACAGGTTAAGCTTGTTCTTCCCAGTTGGCATTTTAAATAATGCTTCAGTGACTGATGTTAACTATTAAGTCATTTTGCATACGTGTGAGCCTCTCCATAACAGCATTTTGTTTTGTTTGAAACAGGGTTTCTCTGTATAACAGCCCTGGCTGTTCTGGAACTCACTCTGTAGACCAGACTGGCCTTAAAATCACAGAGATCCTCCTGCCTCTGCCTCCTGAGTGCTGGGATTAAAGGCATGTGCCGCCACCACCCAGTCATAATAGCATTTTTAAGATTTGAATTTCTGAGTCAGTTGAATAGCTCTATATTTCAGAAAAATGCCAGTTCTGACCTGCTTAGCCTTTTGTTTGAATTAGAATGCTGGAGGGACCTGACTGTACTCGGTCACTGTAGGTGGGGCTCTTTACCTTCTCTTTTCATTTTTTTTTTTTTTTTTAGTTTTTCGAGACAGGGTTTCTCTGTGTAGCTTTGCACCTTTCCTGGAACTCACTTTGGAGACCAGGCTGGCCTCGAACTCACGGAGATCCTCCTGCCTCTGCCTCCCGAGTGCTGGGATTAAAGGCGTGCGCCACCACCGCCCGGCGTACCTTCTCTTTTCATACGGCCTCATTGAAAATACATTCATTTACCCTTTAAGAGTTAGGCGTTATATTTATTAGGTAACATACAGATGCCTGGATGGCTGAGTTTTCCATATTAGAAAAATAATGTCTGAGGATAGCGGAGCATAGGTCGTTGGAAAGACAGGTTTGGTGTGCAGATGCATGCTGTGCGTGTGGTCTTGTGCTTTCCTCCTTTCATGGAGCTGTAGACTGTGTTTCAGAATCGCTGCCAGTGCACTCCTCAGTGAAGGAGGTGGGTGATAAACAAACGACTCTATCCTAGTCTAGCTTCTCCCAAACTCAGGACTGTGTTTGTTTGTTTGTTTGTTTGTTTACATAATTTACTACTAATTTTATAATTTCTGTTTTAGTCTAGTATGAAAAAAGCCAGTATTAAAATTCTAAAAAATTTTGATGAAGCAATAATTGTGGATGCTGCAAGTCTGGATCCAGAATCTTTATATCAACGGACATACGCAGGGTAAGTTTAACTCGTGTAGAATTTAGCATCTTTTGAAAATTAAAAAAAAAAATTTAAATACCCAGCATTTTCATATATCATGTAATATAGTGATTATAAGGAAGCCAAGCATTGTGGCCCACCTTTAATCCCAGCATTCAAGAGACAGACGAATCTTTGTGAATTCAAGGCCAACTTGGTCTCCATAGTGAATTCCAGGCCAGCAAGTCTGAAGACCTAAGTTCATTCAGTTCCTGGAACCATGGTGGAAGGAGAGAATCAACTCTCCAAAGTTTTCTGACCTCTCCATGCATGCTGAGGCACATGTATAGCTGCATTCACATACATGCTGGGTACATGCATAACAACACATTGGCATTTGGATGGCTGATAAGTCTAGAAAAAACTTTGAGGAAAACAAAAAGTTTAATCACATTATCTTTGAAAGTGCACATTGACTGTGTTGGCTTGTAGTAATTTTTTTAATTGTGTGTGTGTGTGTGTGTGAGAGAGAGAGAGAGAGAGAGAGAGAGAGAGAGAGAGAGAGAGAGAGAGAGAGAGAAGAGAAGAGAAGAGAGAGATTATATGAAATGTCTGTGTGGGCACATGTGTCATGTGCAGATGTGGAGGCCAGAGGACCCACTTTGTTGTGTGGTTCCCTGTTTTCACGGTTCTTTGGGCCTGAGCGCCAGTTTCCAGGCTTGCTGCTGAAAGCACCCTTACCCATTGTGCCGTCCTGCCTGCCTGCCTAGCTTTTTTTTTTTTTTTTTTGGTTTTTCGAGACAGGGTTTCTCTGTGTAGCTTTGCACCTTTCCTGGGACTCACTTGGTAGTCCAGGCTGGCCTCAAACTCACAGAGATCTGCCTGCCTCTGCCTCCCGAGTGCTGGTATTAAAAGGCGTGCGCCACCACTGCCCGGCCCTGCCTAGCTTTTGAGTAATGTTTAATGATCATAGTGATCTTTTAAAAATGGTAGACAAAGTGCTTGCTGTGTAAGGATGTGGACCTGAGTCTGACCTCCAATCACCAAATAAAAAGCCAGGCTTGGCCTTGTGTTTCCAGACTGGAGAGGCCAGACATGGGCTTGTATTTCCAGACTGGAAAGGCCAGGCATGGGCTTGTGTTTCCGGACTGGAGAGGCCAGGCATGGGCTTGTGTTTCCGGACTGGAGAGGCCAGGCATGGACTTTTAGTTTCAGATGGGAGAGGCCAGGCATGGGCTTGTGTTTCCAAACTGGAGAGGCAGAAGGATCCCTGGGGCTCATTGGTCGTCCGTCTGAATTAAATCAACGAGCTGCAGGTTCAGTTAAGTTTTGAGGCCTGGCTCAAAAAATAAGGTGGACAGGGCTGGTAAGACAGCTCATTAGGCAAAGGCACTTGCCAATTCCGACCACCTGAATTTAATCCCTGAGACCCACATGGTAGAAGAGAGCTAGCTCCTGTGAGTTGTCCTTGGACCTCCACACAGATGCTACAGTGTATGAGCTTCCCCTGCCACTACATAAATAAACACATTGAATATACGTTTAAAACAATGATAAATACAGTGAAGAATAATTGAAGAAGATGCCTAAAATCAGCCTCTGGCCTACACACACACACATACACATATGCACACACACACACACACACACACACACACACACACACACACACACACATGAACAAGTATACACACATACATTTTAAAAAAAGAAAGAGAAAATGGTGGACAAAGTCCAAATAAGTTCTTTCTTGAAGATGAAATGTACGTAAGAAAGTCAGTTGATGGTGACACACGCCTTTAATCCCAGCACTCGGGAGGCAGAGGCAGGAGGATCTCTGTGAGTTCGAGGCCAGCCTGGTCTACATCGTGAGTTCTAGGACAGGCTCCAAAGCTACACAAAGAAACCCTTTCTCAAAAAACAAAACAAAACAAAAAGCAAGTTGGTTGGTAGTCAAGCATGATGGCTCACACTTTTTGTTACAGCATCAAATCTCTCTCTAGAGCAAGTTTCAGGACAGCCAGGGCTACATAGAGACCCTGTCTCAAAAACAAAACAAAACAAAAAACCCCACCAGTCTGTAAGTTACAAAATGTTTTACTTAGTTTTTTATGTATAAAAAATTTTAAAATAATGTATATAAAATGATTTTTTTTCACTTTCATCTTTTAAAGGTTTCATTGTTTGTTTTAGTTTTATTCTTTTAGCACCTAGAAAGTTTTTCCCAAGGCAAATACATTTGTGTATGTTGGTATTCTGACATAAATAAATGCCATATAAGATGAGAACTCCTAGAATGTCTCTAAAATAAGACCCTTTTCCAAAGTAAAATAATACATAGATACCAGCTTCTCTTGTTTTAGCTTCTCTTCTTTTAACTTGTAATTACAAATAGATAGTTTTGGTTTTTTTTTTTTTTTTTTTTTTTT